ACAGCTATTAGTTCTACCCTTTTACTATGCAAACTTTGTTATGATATAAGAATAAAAATGGAGTTTAAATATTTTAGCCAAAATATATTTCATCTCTTTTACATAAAAACAAATGGATTGATAATGCCTCTAGCTCGTTCATTGTAGTTAGAGGTGTAAATCGGGTTGTATCCGGTCGGGGGTTTTAGATTTATGGGTTGGCATGATACGTCATGGCACAACTGTGTGTGTCATGCCATGCCACCTGCAACCCATATGTTGGTAGGGCTCACATGTATGTATATATAAAATATATTAATATATGTAATATTTTATTTTTAATATTATTATACTATTTCATTTTAGTATTGTATATAGAAAAATTCATATAAAATAAAAATTTAAGACTTTTTTTTTAATTTTTTTCGTCTGTTTTGTTAATTTACTTTAAATCTTTTTATTATTTTTTAATTTTTTTAAATATACCTCCAATGGCTTGGCCTGGTCTATGGCCCAACCTAGCCCAAGGCTCGACCCACAGACTATCCTAACCTGTGGCACAACATGGGCTTGTGAGGACTTGGGCCATGGGCTGTGCCAGGCCGACCCCCCAAAGTATCCCAGGGGTAGGGGTGCTCACGATTCAATTAACCAAACCGTGGGGTTTTTTCTTGAACCGAACTGATCTAATCGTTTTTTTTAAATATGAGCAAAAACTGAACCGATGTAATCGGTTAATCGATCTATCGGTTAACCGGTCCACTGGTTAACTGTGGTTCAGTTTTTTGTTTTTTTTTGCACCTAAAATTTAAAAAACAATACCTGAACAAGCATGGCAAAGGGGCGAACCGGCGTGGGCGAAGTGGTGGCCAATGATTTGCCGATACCGGACTGGTTGGTGGTTGTTGTCGCCTGAAGTGAAAGCTTGAGAGGTGGCGGAGCCACGAAGATGAGAGATGAGAGAGACAAAGATAGTCAAACAAAGCTTGGGAGTGGGAGGTGGCGGTTTGGCGGAGTCAAGGCGGTGACCGATGTTGCACACTTGCACTGTTGCTGTGTGCTTGTTTGTTTGATGGTTGGCACGGCGAAGACGAAGATGACAGACAACAGAGAGTGAGAAAGAGACATAGGGATTGGGGAAGACGAAGAGACAACAGACTCAAAGAGAAAGAGACATAGGGATTGGGGAAGACGAAGAGACAAGAGTCACAAGATTGAGAGAGTGAGAAAGGGGAAAGTGGGAAATAAAAAATTTGAAAATTTTGAAAATCCATTACTTAGACATATGGGGAAAACTGAAAAGAAGAGTGTGCGCCCAGGCCTTGGCGAGTATGCACCATTTGAAAATTGTGAAAATCCAATTTTCACAAGTCACATTAACTAAGCCTCTCTTTCTCTCTCTACTTTTTCACACAGGAGACAACTGACAAGGGTAAATAAAAGGAGAGAAGGGGGAAAAATTGTGAAGCATCTCATTTTTCGAAGAAGGGGGAAACCGAAAAGGTCTATGCGTGCACAGGCCTGTGGCTGCCGGTTTTTTCAAAAGTACAAATATAAATATAAATATAATATATTATATATATTATTGTATATATACCGGTCAGTTCGATTAACTGTCGATTTTTTTTATAAGGTTAATCGAAACCGAACTGAAATTTTTGATTTTTAAGAATAACGAACCAAAATCGAACCGACCAATTCGGTTAACCGATTTTTCGGTTCAATTTTAATCGATTTGATTTTCTGGTTTTTTTTGCTCACCCCTACCTAGAGGAGGGAAGCATGACTCAATTTACACCTCTAACTATAGTGAAATGTGGAGATTTCAGATTGATTCCCACTATCAATAGGGTTTGGGCAATCGTGAATTTGGAAGGCAAACTACCTTTGTTTCATGTAATCCCTTGAATAATAATAATAATAATAATAATAATAATAATAATAATAATAATTTTTCAGATTCGAATCGATGGATGAGATTAATGTATTGGAGATCTGAGTTAAAAGTGTCATATCCTTTTTTGCTTATCAACGCATTGCTTTAAAGCAGTGAATATACTGAATAGGGGTGATTTGATTTGCAGCCAAAGTCCTAAAATATAGGCCAGGCCCAATCTTACTTGGGCTGAAATCAAGCACCCAAGCTTTCTATACCGGGTCAGGCTGAAATCAAGTCCCCGACAAAGAATGATTACTGGGCATCATTTTAATTTACTATAATCTTTTATTCATGCTTTTCTTTTTTGATAATTGAGAGGCTTTCCCCGCTTCTGATTCAGGGACAAGAACAAGTAGCTCGAATTCTGTTCCATGTACTTCAATTAAGAAGTGAGTAATTTGTTCTCCCAAATATAGTAGTCTTTCTCTCCTGTCATGTTAAGTCATAACTGTTACATTATTACATATAGGGTAAATTTCTTAAACTATCCTTATAGTTTAGTTAATTGACTAACTGTATTCCTATTGTTTGAAAATTGACTGTCATTATCCCTATTATTTTTAACAATTGTCTAAATCTTTTCTTGCTGTTAACGTCTCGTCATAAGACCTTCAAATGTGTCATCACGTGACCTTTTGACAAATTTCCCTATTTTATTTTGAAAATTTGAAGAAAAGTAAAGGGTAAAATAGTCTTTTTTGTCTTTCTGTTAGCGGATGCTAATGATAAAGAAAGTATTAATTAATTTTCAAACATTAAGGGTACACTTAGTCAATTAGCTAAACCATAAACGTAGTTTAAGAAATTTACCCTTACATACTCCATTAACCTTGACAATAACTATTACCTTCATCTCTAGAACTGCAACTTGGGATGGATTAGCCCTAACCTAACCTGATAAAATCGGATAGGGTTGGGTTGAGTTGACAATCAGGTTAGGGTTTGGGCTGATTGCTTGGGCAACCCGGTCCAATCTGAACCTGACTATAATATATTTTTGTTGTATATATGTATTACAGTCCTGTTACAATCATTTTAATCGTAACTCTTAAACTCTAACCCTAATGACAAATTGTTATAAGTGATTTTCATTTCATAAATTTACGTTCCATTATTATTAATTTCAGGATTTTATATTTTCATTAAAAGATCTATTTTAATTTGTAATAGGGTGAGGGTTGAGGAATTTTAGATTGAGGTTAGGATTGACTAGGTTGGGTGTTTAGAGCCTTGGGTTAGGTTAGGGTTGACCCCAACCTGCTGCACCCCTAATCTCTGGTTGGGGAATTTCATTAAGATCATGACTAGATATTATTGGTTTAAATCCCACCATATATCTATCAAACTAAAACTTAATCTCCTCCTCACCTCTAAACCACAAAATACATGGGCACGCATTCTACAAGGGTGGCCTCGTCTTATATCTCAATGGACCTCGACTGATCAAATTTACATACCGCGCCTCGTGTCATCTTTCATCAATGGGTTCGCTATGATATGGAAAAGATACGATATCTAAAACACAATTGTCAAAACTGTTTCCATACCATATCTTTTCAGTATTATAGATTTTCCCATCAACATACTCTTGAACCTCCCTTGAGCTCTCGGATAAATACTGATGTAGGCGCATTTGACTGGCCTGTACAGGACTGACACATGTCGGATCAGAGGGCGCCAGCCTGAGCTTACAGGAGGACACTCAGGGTTACTAGGCGCAGATTGGATGAACTCAATGACAAGGGGCTGCATGGCCCTAGCAAAAGATCTTGCCAGGCCCAGGCCCTCGTACAACTCGCATCTGAACCATCTGAGGCTAACTACTCCCAGGCAGCTCCGGTTATAAATACAAAGCACCCCCCACAAGATAAGGGATTCGAATAAACTGGAGTAATCTCCTAGCATTGCCTCCCTCTAGGGAACTTAAGCACTATTTGAGACCTCGTCTGGACCCTTTGGTTCCAGACCTCAAGCTTACCTTGTGTGCATACTAACTTGACCATCGAAGCCTTCACCTTGGGTACTTGCCCGAGGCCTCTGACACTTCACTCCTTGCAGGATCTGTATCGAAGCCTCCTTCGGACCCCTTGCACGGCACACTCCTCGCTAGCCTTTGACTTTTACAATATCCGAAAGGACCTTCCACCTCGGTTTTCCCCCTTCGGACCTTCAAAACCTTTGACCCCCTCCTTTGAAGCTTGGGAGCAAAATTACTTTATTGCCCTCGGTTAATCCGAGCATCAACAAATACTAAAATCTCTCCTTAGCTTTACCCTAATCGATAAACATCCCCTACCAAAGGGTTCTGCTATTAACTTCGACATAATAGAGAACCACTAAGGACGCCCCTATGGGGTTTAATTTCCCTAGATATACACAGAGATTGAGATTTCTATTAGCCTCTCAAAAGATTTGTATCTGTGAAAAGCTAATTCGTAAGATAAACAGATAAAGCTTGATTCTCATGTTATTGGGTTTCCTACCTGTGGATTATTAAACTTGCTTTTGATGTAGCCAAATTAAGAGCTTCATGGCAGATCAAAACTGCTCATTTTAAAGTCCATCTTGCCACCTGTAAAACATGGGTCTAATGAGAGAAGTGTTGGCATGAAACCCTAAATTTGCTATCTACTTGTAAGGAACAAGGATTGACAAGGTCGGGATGCTTTGAAGGTTGAGGAGAAATGATGGGGTTTGAATGGGAAGGGAAGAAAGTGGCCGGCCCCGGAGGGACTGCACTATGTATATCCTTCAGAAAGGGATCAAACCCCTTTTTTTTGAAGTCTTGTACGTAATTGCGTAAAACATATTTGTATTTGTAATAGGCCCAGTTTTGTATACAAATATATGTAGAGTACAAACTTATTAATACTGTCCATATTTGTATTTGTACACTTTCCAAACGGAGCCTAAGAAGAAGAGATAATTATTAAGGTTAGATAGACTCTTTCAATACAAATCTGAAAACAGCAGCAAACTTATTAATCCCTTACTGCTAAACTCATACTTTCAATTGACCATGCACGGATGTAGATGCTAAAATGGCTGAAACGGAATCTAGCTACCACTCAGCTCAGGAACTGAAAATAACCAGAAGGTAATTAACCCAATAAATTAAGGAGAAGAGAAGATCAAACAGCGAACTACATCGGTTCAAAATTAAGTTATATAATTACTTCAGTCCAACCAACATGGTGTTTATGATGGTATCAGGCATGGCATCAATGTAATGAAGCATATGGCCTGAACCTTTAAGCTCGTGATAGTGAATCCATGGCAGCTTCTCAGCAATATAGCGTTGCAGGATGACAGGAACAAGCCCATCTTCATCTCCATGCCACAAGTGAACCGAACCTTCGTTGTTTGGAAACGGGTTCTCGAGTTCCATAGGATCAAACTCCCACCTTCCGAAACCAACAATCATGTCACGGTGCAGCGTCTCGAATTCGCCTTGCTGCCTTATCTGTGCCTGAGGAGAGCCAAAGCCAAAGCGCAGTACGTGGATGGGCATCAATAAAGCTAGCTAGCTAGAGACATTTCATGAAGCTAATTACCGCATTAATTAATTAAGTGGGCTAAAGTAGATACCCCGTAGGCTTCTCTGCTTTCAAACTTGCTGAAAAGCTCTTTATCTTGGGTGTTAAGAATATCAGGGCTGTGGGCTATGACGTTGGAACAAGGAAACCATTTCTGGGTGTTCCACCAGTAAGTGAGCCATGGCGCGTAATGAGCCACCCCAACTGCCCACCGGTCCGCTGGGAGTTGCTGTTTATAGGCTTTTTTGGACAAGTTGGCCGGAAAACCAGGCCACCAGTAATTAACGACGGGTGCTATTAGAGTTGCTCCTGCTAGCCTGCAACCATATATATATATATATCAAGTCAAATTCTCACTTGGGTGTGTTAACGTTTTGGTAGAAACAGAAACAAGAATATGGAAGCTTGGAATTTGACGACATTGACATTTAATAACCGGCCATAAGATGGCCTTGCTAGTCGGGTCAATCATGTATAATCTCTAATAGACGACCCCACTTCTTATGTGCCACTCCTGATAGTGGGGTCCAGTGTTGGCCAGGTGTCTACACAATAGACCCTTATCCCATGCATGGAGAAAGGTTTAATTTGCCTAGTAATATGGGATGCTGGAACTTGCAATTGGAAGTTTCATCATCTTCTTCTCAATTCAAAAAGAGGGTTCATTTTGGGGAAACAAAACTTTCGATCCATAGGAGCCAAAGTTCTTTCCATTTTGGGATGGTAGGACGGTCTGGTCAGTGAGTTTTTTTATTTCTGCTCTGAGCTAGTGTGAAACTGACACACTGGCAAAAGGGGTTTGTGGGATGAAGCTTGTCGGCCCCATGAATTAATAAATAAAAAAACTATAATCAAAGGAGGGAGTAGGGAAGTGAAGAACATATTAGGCACTTCTTCTGTAGGAGCTCTCAGCTCTGGATGGATAAAGATGGTGTGGTCCAACCAGTGTCTGGACCGGCCATATAATTGACTCTGAATGGCTATATATAACCACTCACCGGTGAGGAATATACTTGAGGCAGGTCCAAATCACTTGTCCACCCATGGAAAACCCAACCACATAGAACTTAGACCCCATTCCCAACTGGTCTGCAAGCTCTTCAATATCCAAAGCTGTATCCTTCACTGTTCGTTTTGGATTAGGATCACTCTCTCCATACCCGGCTCTATCAAAAGACACCAAGTAGATGCCCAATTCTTCAGCAGTTTCCTGTGAAAATTAATCACTTAAAATCAAATAATTTACTCAAAGAGGTACCCTAGAATGGAATCAAAGAACAGAACGTACCTGAGATAGGCGGATGACATCGTATCTGCAGGAGTCAAAGCCATGAACAAAGATGACATTATACTTGGCCTTGTCTTTGGGGACACCGTTCTCCTTGTAGGCCAAATGCCTTCCATCTCTGAGCTTTATTCTAGGAGCTGTAACAGATGGGCCATTTGCAGAGCCACAGATCTTGGGAGGTGGAGGTTGGATGGCCTGATAAGCCCACGCCAGAAATCCGATGAATAAGAGCACAGATATCTTCTTAGACATACCTGCAAAATGTTGAAATTTCATCACAAGCACAAGTATTAAGCATACCCAGTTAACCAAAGCATGAAACTTGGATAAAAGAATTAACACGAATTCAATCATGCAACTTTGTTTAGAATCTGATCTAAAATAACCATATTTTAGCATGGAATTAATCAAGTACATGAAGCACCGATTTTCTGAGAAAAAAGATCAAAGAGATCAAGATGAACATGCATGATGGATTATAGAAGAGAATTAAGAAAAATGAAAAGAAATTAAGCCCAGAAAACAAAATTAAAATAAGCAGTGAGACAGTAAGAGTGTCAAGAGATCAAACATCACAAAACCATATGAAACAGGGCAAAGAAAGAAAACCCACTGGAATGTAGTTGAAATGAGCTGTTCTGCAGTGACTTTTCGGTATGAGCCATGGTTGATGCAGCTGATATCTCTCTTCTCTCCCACCATTTTCACGACTACTCTACCCACCTCTTATACTGAAACATTGGAGAAAAATCCCCTAAAGAATGATATCATTGCCTAGGTAAGGTCTAGAAATTAAAAGTTAGGAGTTTGACGAGAGAGATATTTGAGATTCTTGGAAAGGTAAAGAGACCTTTACATCTTTAATTGTTTATTTGATAAGACTTCAGGAGTGCAGAGATTGGAGGGACAAAATTAATAGTTGACGTCTTGATGACAAATCTGGGCCAGTAATGTGGGTCCCTTGATTTGAGATGAATGGGACAACCCCTCTTAACAATACTGTTTGCAAATTGCAACATAGAATCTTTTTACTCTTTTAGCCTTCTAAACCATTCACAAATAGTACCAAAAAAACCATTCAGAAATAATTTACTTGAAGTTGTCATCCAACAAAGTCCAAAACCACACTAGTTTCAATCAGGGCTGCTTACGTTTCAACTTTCAATCAATTGCTTCAAGTTTCCCAAAAGACACCAAACATCCAGACTGACTTCGGCAAGTTGGAAATTGAAGCCAAGCAGAAATGCAGAATGATTCCACTTTCCACATTTCTCTATTTGCTTCTTAAGGACTTTGAATTCCTATTCGTAATACTGGCCAATCAAGATATGCCCACACATTAGTTCCATAATTGATTACTATTTCAAATTGGTTGTTGTTAATTTGCAACAATTGTTTATTGGTTTGTCACAGTTGAGTATTCATCAATCTTTTAAAAAACGACCCAAAAATAGTCACCGGTTTTTGGGTTGATGGTTTGACCGTCTGATATAAATAAACAGTTCGGTCTAACAGAATAAATTAAAAAAATAAAAAATAATTAAAATTTAAAAATATTCAAAAACTGTTGAACGGATTAACAATTGATTGTCTGAGTCAATAGATCGTTAATCAATTCAATGATTTTTGGCCAAGAATCGAATTTGGGATAAAATGGAACCGATTGCCTAGCCAAACAGTCCAAACATCCCGGCCTATAACAGTTCAAAAACTGTGATATTCATCAATAACAATATGTACAATATATACCAATATGGGATGGATATGATAAAATTTTACTGAAACTGATTATCACCAAAAACAATAAATATAAACCTTGGTGATTAATTATAGACTTATCCCCATCTCATAATAAATATAAGGAATGAATGTAGTAGTATATTTAGGTGCAAAAAACTTTAAATGAGGATGGCTGTTATGGGATGATCCAATTGAAATATATATGGAGCGGCCGGCATGAATGAAAATGAAGGTTTGAGTTTAAGAGAGACCAGGCCACTTTATGCAAACAATGTCAAAGGTTAGAAACTTAGACCTATGTCCAGTCTACCCCTCCCAAGACCCATATAAATAGGACTAACACTGGGTAGTGAACTTTTTATTCTTGATCTAAGACTGAAAATACTATTTGGAAAATTTATTATTTAGACGATTTGAATTAATGAGTCCCACTTGGATAAGAATTTATTATTCAATGAGTCCCACTTGGAAAATTTATTGGTCCATATTTCTATTTAGACGATTTGAATTAATGCTCTAAAAATGATGCATGAATCACATATAGTCTAAAATCTAAGTATATTTGGGTATGTATGTCAAACCTCTCATATGCAACATCCATGAAAAATGAGAGTTTAGATGTGCTACTCAGTACCACAGAGTGTCCTACCCACAAGACACTATTTATGGCCATATCTTAAGAATATCTCTGTATATTGTCATTCATGGGACATGTTTGTGATGTGTTACATGTCCAGAACTTTTGTTCATGTCAGTTCTACATTCCACATTGTAATGGTGATTTTCCAAGGTGATGTTTGGTATGACTTTCATTAATTTGAAAAAAAACACTTGTATTTGATTTATCTTCAAAATCAAGAAAAAGTGGTTGATAAAYATTTTGCATCATATAAGTAGAACAATAAATAAACATCTTTGTGTTGGGGAAATGTTATTCCCCAACAGTTTGCTTACACATAAATCGAGAAAAATATTTATTTGATAAACAGACTTACCTAATACCATTTTGGGACAAAAGCCCACATGGCAATGAGCTGGCACCATTTTCAAATAAACTGAAGTCATACCAAACATTATCCCATTTAATATTATCCGTTGAAGTTTTTAATTTTTAACGGTAATGTTGTGTTTGGTGCCTTTGTTTTTCTTTTTTCTTTTTTACCTAAAACAATTTTCTCTCATCAATAGATATTGGCATAAAACTGTTATTTGAGATTATTTGTAGTTAAAAATTGAAACAGGCATACCTAAAAAATGCATGTCCATGTCCGGGACTGATGATTGACATTTATAATTGAAACATCAAATTGACGTTTCTTACTCCAGGGTTGTGAACTCTAATCATTTTAACTTAAGTAATTCGCATAAGTGACGTGTATCTCTCACTAATTTGTAACTTTGTATTTATCATAATGTTCCGTTCCATGTAAAAACAACAGTGGATCAAACACAACCTACATTATTCACATATACTTTTTCAAAGTTGAATTAAGTCATATTTATCCAACAATCCAAACATTCCATTTCTTTTGAACACAAACTGTTCTATATATGGCAATCCCTAACATGCCGTAATGTCACGGGGTTAGTTCTACAACAGAAGAAACCCGTGTGGCATTCAGGCTAAGACAGGCCAGGACAAGCCTGATATGTGCTTAGGGCTAGGAGTTGTACGATGAGATGACTCCACCAAGTTCAGTGGCACTGGATCATGACATCAGTTTGCATGGCCGGGGCTCTTTGTTGGCTCTTTCCGGTCCATGGGAGGCGCCGCTTACGTGCCAAAGGGGGATGACCATGATGAGAGGCAACTTAGTGCCGATAAGAGGGGCTCCKGTATGCTGATGATGCTAGGCACCTGTTGTGCTAATGATGATAGGCAACCGCTGGGCCGAAACACACCTGTGCGCTATGGGCAACGGAATAGCTCAATCAACTTGGGCAAGGGGCTGGCGAGGTGTAGGGACATGCTTAAGCCAGACCCACAGGCCAAGCCTCCCTTGAGTGTCAGTGGTGTAGTGTCGGTCCATGCACTGTCCCTATGAACATGTGTGCACCCATGAGGAACCCTGGTAATCATGCTAGCCATTAACCAGGGCCGCCCCACAAGGGATGTTGGTCTACGAGTGCCAAGGTCAGGCACCCAAAGAGGTCGACCACCCCTCCTCAAAGAATACGTTAAAGCTTTTGGTAGTCTACCTGAAGATAATATGCATTCTCCCAAAAATCATACAAGCAAAAGTGACGATGGTGTCCCTTAACATAAGCCCGCCAAGCATAGGCTGGCTAAGCTGGTGCCAAACCGTGACAGTAAGCTCCTCCCCTTTTCCTCATTTAATGCCACAAATTCCATCTCGCTGTCTAGCCACTGATGAAATTCATTTATGTCAATTCAACAAAAAATTGAAACATTTTCATGAATTGTGTCTTTGTTTTGAAAAGTAAGCTCCGCTTGGAAAGAGTACAAATACAAAATATAAGGTTTTATACTCTACAAATTTGTATTTATATTCCTTCCAAAATGAGCCGCAAAAACAAGTTGATTTTGTTTCAAGAAACAATTAATTCATGTTTTTGAAATAGAAAAATCTATGATATTGAAAAACTTTGACCAATCACAACCTCCGTGAATTTTGATAAATCCTATCCAATTGGTTACCACCACTGTTTTCAAAACCGGACCGAACCAGACGGTCGGACCGGAAAAATCGGGAACTGGTCACCTGACCGGTTCCATTTTCCTCCAAAACTATTTTTTTCTTCAAAACCATTGATTTTGGTCAGCAAACCGCTGAACCGGCCGGTTAATCGTTCGAACGGTTTTGACCGTTTTCCAATTTTTTAATTTTTTTTGTCAAAACGGGCCGACCATTCGGGTCAAACAGTCAGACCATTTGAACCGGTAACCGGACCCCTGACCAGTTCGAATATATATATATATAATAGTAAAATGTTTATATCTTGACAAAAACAAGCGTTTTTAACCAAAATTGTTTTATATATTGCCTATGAAATTTAACCTGCATATATAAAGCAAGAAACACCTCATCACCCACCCTCCCCATTCATCCCTTCCCCCTCTCCTCCTCCTTTCTCTCTCTCTCTCTCCTTACCATACTCCTACCCAGTCCTGTTATCAGGGCTCTCAAGAACCTCCATTAGCCATGTATGGCTATGAAGTTTCACAATTGTGATAGAGAGGGGAGCTCTATAGGAAACTTGCCAAATGGTTTCCTTCTCCTTTCCTAAACCCAAGCTCCTACGTACCTTTCTATTATCATTGATCTTTGTCAAACAAAACTGCCACACATCCCGTGTTTCACTCTTTCATAAGCAAATTCATGACCAATTCAACCTACCTAAGTCAAGACTTAGAAATTGAGTCGTCAATTTTGACAAACAAAATGCAGAATCGGTGTAGTTTGTCTGGAAAGACGATTTGATGCAAGATCGGCGAGGAGATGACCAAAAGCTTTTTTGACATCTTTAGCAATGGATAGATTGTTAAGCTGTAGTTGAGTGAGAGCCATGATGAGGGATTTTAGAGAATGAAGTTGATTTTACGAGTTCTAGTCACGTATCATTTTTTGGCTAAGTACCTCGTCATCTCGTCTGCTCTCAAATGGCCGATGACTCGGAGGCTGAAGTAGAGCTCCCTAGTGTAGTGCAACCCGGCTGCTCCCTGCAKGAGATGACCTGCTCATCTTGTAGACGACGGGAATTGAGGAACTCATCCTCCTTGTAGGAGGTGATCTGCTCATCTTTGTAGATGCCAGGAATTGAGGAACTTGCAATGACTGAATCAGAACCCGGGGGTGTTTACCTGGCGAGGTCACTCCGATGGCTAAGTTAGCACTTAATAGTGAGCTGAGAATGATATTAGAGAATGAGAGAGCTAGAGAGCAGGGGTTACCATCTCCTTTTCTCGTATCATCCCTTCGCCCATTGGAGGGTGAGGTCTTTATATACTGGAGTCCTCGTGGGTTTGGTGGAGCAGTTCCTGGATTCCCGCTGTGATGGGACCTGCTTTCGTGTTAGGTGGGCATAAAACCACCAACCGGTAAGGTTGCCCATTTCCGCCTAAATCGGGGACTGGG